TTGGGATTCCTGGGTGCCTCCTGGGGCCACTTTGTTAATCTGGTGCAGGCTTAGACCCTGAAAAATGCATATATGCACAGCTTCACAAATGTCACATCAAATTTCAGGTAGTTGTTGAACACTCTGAAGTCCATCTTTAGAATCCAAGGGGTTTGTGGACACCAGGTAAAAAATCTGGGGAAGATTCGTTAAAAATACTGCCTCTCACAATAACCTCACAGCAATGTGTCATAATAGGGTTGAGATTCTACCATTAGCCTTTCTCTGAGCAGAAAGGAAAGCCTATTGGCTAAAGTCCTAATTATCTACTGCTGAGGTAGTCATTAAAATTATGTTTGGTTGTGAATAATAGAAACACCCAAATAACAGTAACCTCAACAGAAAAGAAGTTTGTGCCTCCTTCACATAAATGATACACAGGCAGTCCCAGGCAGATGCGTGGGCCAGGATCCTGGGGTCCTGCTGTTGCTCTGCTCCACCAAGTTTGTCCTCAAGCTCGTGCTCTCAGAAGGTGACGTCCTCATGCCAGGCAGCAAGACGGAGGAACAGAGGGGAATAGTATCCCTTAGGGAAGGCTCTAGAAATTTCTAGAAGCTGCTTGTGACCCCCTCCATTTACATCCCTTTGGCCATATTATGGTCAAATAGCCACACCTAACTGCAAAGGAGGCTGAGAAATGCAGGGCATTTGGGGGGCAATGGGAAGAAGGGAAGCAGTCCTGTGGACAATTAATTCTATCACGAGAGAAGGAGGAAGAATAATTTCTGGTGGCTACTAGCAGTCTCATTTACAGATGTGCTATGAATTTCTGGGACACTGTGAGGTAAGGAGGGAGGAGGGGCTAAAGGATTGAGTGTGTTTCTATTTCTTTTTTTTTTTTTTTTTTTTTGATACGGAGTCTCACTTGGTCACCCAGACTGGAGAGCAGTGGTGTGATCTCGGCTCACTGCAGACTCCGTCTCCCAGGTTCAAGCAATTCTCCTGCCTCAGCCTCCCAAGTAGCTGTGATTACAGGTGCCCACTACCACGCCTGGCTAATTTTTTAATTTTTTGTAGAGATGGGCTCTTGCCATGTTGCCCAGGCTGGTCTCAAACTCCTGAGCTTAAGCAATCCTCCCACCTTGGCCTCCCACAGCCCTAGGATTATAGGCATGAGCCACCACAAAGCCCCTTCTTTGCTTTTATTGAATGGTTATTTGAACTCAGATGTGAGCAGTGGTCTATTTATTCCTTCATTCAATAGTAGTTTTCCAAATGCTTACCATTTGCCGGGTACTCTGCTAGGGGCTGGGATCCAACTGGGAGCGAGTCACCATCCCCTGGGAGCCTCCACTCACGTTATGGGCAGCCAGGGACAGGTTCAAGTGGCAAAGGAACACTGGTCAGAATGTCTCTTTCCTTGGCATCACCTGCTAGATCCATGTCTGTGCAGGAGGAATAGCACAAGGCCATGGGTCTGTCTTTAGGATAAATGCGCAAGAATTCTAAGTCTCAGGAATGTCTGAGGTCTAGCCCTTAGCTCTCAGGCCCAGTGGCCTGTTTGCTGCCTCACTGGATGGAGGTCGGAGGAGGACAAGCTAGGAAGTGGGCAGTCTAACCAAGAACTCACACGTCTCAGGCAAGGGCTGTTTCTGCTGTGTTTTGTGATACCTCTGGGTAAACAACTTGGGTTTGCCATTCTGGGGATTTTTCCACTGCATGTCCCCAGGAAGGCCACCAGACAAGGCTGCGAGTCCCCGTTGCCACGCCCAGGAAGGAGACCCTGTTGGCGATATCTGTGTGCGTGATTCCTGTAGCTGCCCTGAGGCAGCTTCTGGGCACCCCCAGGCCTCAGGCAGCCGCTCACCTGACTGCCCCCGGTGCCAGGCCTCCCATGAAAGGAAGAGCATGGGAAGTCTAAGCCCCCAGCCCCTTCCACAGTGTAAGCGCCACATGAAGCAGGTCCAGCTGCTATTTTGCGAGGATCACCGTGAGCCCATCTGCCTCATCTGCAGTCTGAGTCAGGAGCATCGAGGCCACCGGGTACGCCCCATTGAGGAGGCTGCCCTGGAACACAAGGTAGGCACTCCCTGCCTGTGGGCCCTTCTCTGCCAGGCACTTGGACACACTGGGCCTTGCTTCATTTTCCCAACAACTCTGGGATGTTGGTGCATTAGCCAGCATTCCTGGGCTGGTAATGGCAAGAACACAATATAAACCAGTCCAGCAAAGAGGGGAGTTACAGGTTTATGTTGCTCAGAGATCCAGGGGGAGCTAGTTTCAGGTATGGCTAAATCCAGAAGCCCAGAGGAAGTGCCTCTCAGCTCTGCTGCCTTTGGCGATGCAGCCATTCCTCCCTCCTCTTTTCTGAGCACCCCTCTCATGCTGCTGGCAGCAGCACCCTCAGCCTTGCTACCAGAAGATGTTCCCCTCCAGAGTTGGCACCAGCTAAAGATGGCAGGAGCCACATTCAAGCTTTTCAACAAGTGCTATTTTTCCAGAAGCAAATTCAGAAGCAGCTGGAGCATCTGAAGGAGCTGAGAAAATCAGGGGAGGAGCAGCGATCCTATGGGGAGGGCAAGGCAGTGAACTTTCTGGTAAGGACAGTCGTGGCTGGTGGCCCATCCTTCCCTGGGAGGAGGGTGAGAAGAGTGAGCAGGGGTCCCCGAGATTCTGCTGTGGTTCAAAGGGCAGCAGGGATGGCCACCTCCTCTCAGGGTGCAGAGGGGTAACCAGCAGCCAAGGGTGAACTCATCCCTGTAGAGGGAGACCACCCCCAGCAGGCAGAGGTCACCTCTGAGGATCCTGTCATGCTTTCTCATACTCAGCAGAAGATAGTATACAACAACCTATGCCGGTGACTGTCGCAGAAAGATGGGATTGAGGAAAGGGGAGGAGAACGCTGCAATTTTTATTTTTTTTATTTTTTATTTTTTTTGAGACGGAGTCTCGCTCTGTCACCCAGGTGCAGTGGCATGATCTTGGCTCACTGCACCTCTGCCTCCCGGGTTTAAGCGATTCTCCTGCTTCAGTCTGCTGAGTAGCTGGGACTACAGGCGCCCACCACTATGCCCGGCTATTTTTTGTAATTTTAGTAGAGATGGGGTTTCACCATGTTGGTCAGGCTGTTCTCGAACTCCTGACCTCATAATCCGCCCACCTTGGCCTCCCAAAGTACTGGGATTACAGACATGAGCCATCGCGACCGGCCAAGAACACTTTTAACTTTAAAATTCTCTTCTGTTTTTTTTTTTTCCCCAAGGTGGAGTCTCACTCTGTTGCCCAGGCTGGAGTACAGTGGCACAATCTTGGCTCGCTCCAACCTCCACTTCCCAGGTTCAAGCAATTCTCCTGCCTCAGCCTCCTGAGTGGCTGGAATTACAGGCGCTTGTCACCGTGCCTGGCTAATTTTTGTATTTTTAGTAGAGACAGGGTTTCCCCATGTTGGCCAGGCTGGTGAGAGCAGCCTGAGACTCCTGACCTCAGGTGATCCACCTGCCTCAGCCTCCCAAAATGCTGGGATTACAGACATGAGCCATTGCACCCAGCCTGAATTTCCCCATTTTATGAAACAACATTTATATTGGATTAGGGACCCACCCAACTCCAGTAGGACCACATCTTAACTAATTACATCTGCAAGAACTCTATCTCCAAATAAGATCACATTCTGAGTACTGGGGGTTAGGGCTTCAACATGTAAATTTTGGAGGGCACACAGTTAAACCTTAACACCAGGTTTGAGGACATTTTCCCAGAGCTAGCCCCAGCCATGCTCAGTCTGTTCTGGAAGGTTCCAGACAATATTGCCTCCTGCTGTGGAATCTAGGCCTCGAAGAGGCAGCATAAGCCCACCTTTTATCCACCTCCAGGAGGTGAGCCTCCGGGGGTTCCTGGACATACATGTCCACTCAAAGCACAGACCCCCATACCTCCCTGTCCTCTGCTCCCCAGAAACAGACTGAAGCGCTGAAGCAGCGGATGCAGAGGAAGCTGCAGCAGGTGTACCACTTTCTGGAGCAGCAAGAGTATGTCTTTATGGCCTCGCTGGAGAACGTGGGCCAGATGGTCGGGCAGATCAGGAAGACATACGACACCCGCATATCCCAGGACATCGCCCTGCTCGACGCGCTGATTGGGGAACTGGAGACCAAGCAGTGCCAGTCGGAATGGGACCTTCTGCAGGTGGGTGTGCCTGGGCCTGGCTTTCTTGGGTCCCCTGTGCCCATCAGGATGCCTCAGACTCTCAGCTCTGCCATCAACTGTGCGGGCACCAGTGGGTAAAGCCCCTAAGGCCTAGGATAGGACTTGGTCTTGGTGACCCACAATGCCTCTTGTGCCCAGACCCCTTTGACGAAGTCTCTCAGGAGCCCAGGGTGGCCCAGCATCCAGGGGATCCCTGTCATTTCCCAGAAGGGATCAGCAGGGCTTGAGGGTCGTTCCATTGCAGGCCTCGCCACCTGGGATGCCTGAATCCCTGTGGTTAGAATTAGAATTGAAGAAAGGTGCTCCACTTCCCCTGACACCCTAGGGCAGGGAGCCCTGGTAAGTGCAGGGGGGAGCTAAAAGTCCAGGAGCCCAGGAGTAGAGGCCAGGTATCAGCACAGCCTCTGGGAGCCTGATAATGGACAGTTTCCTTCTTTTCTCTCCTAGGACATCGGAGACATCTTGCACAGGTACAGCAAGGTCCTATGGTGTACCCTGGGGTGTCTTGCAGGAAGCATTTTGGGGGAGACAGTCCCAGAAGGGACCTGGGAGGGATATGTTCCCAACACTGGGGTCTGTGATTCCAGACTCCTCCCTTTTTCTGCAGGTTCCCAAAGCCTCTGGACTTGCTTAGGGAGAAGGGGATCTGGTCAGCAGGGAGGCTGACCAGGTGTGGAGCTGCAGACTGGGAAGGGTGAATTCAGCCCATCCTAAGATGGAGGCTCCCTAAGAAACTTTCCGAGTGCATTGTGTCCCGTGCACTTCACCTTATGAAAACTGCCCCTTCAGGCCTACTGGTGGCCTTGGGAAGCTTGTTTGGAGTGAAGCTGGGTTGAGCCCAGCAGGAAGGGGAGGGAAGGGACAGGAAGAGGCTAAGCCTTAAAATCACCTGGGAGCTTTACAAAATCCCAGTGTCCTTTTGTGTCTGGCTTCTTCACTTAGCATAATGTCTTCAGGCTTCATCCATGTTGTAACGTGTATCAGAATTTATTTTCTTTTTATGGCTGAATAGTAGTCAATTGTGTGTTCATACTACATTTCGTTTATCCATTCATGGACATTGGGATTTTTTCTAACTTTTGGTTTGTGAATAATGTTGCTATGAACATGGGCATACAAATATCTATTTGAGACCCTGCTTTCAGTTATTTTGGGTACATACCCAGAAGTGGAACGGCGGGACCATGTGGTCATTCTGTGTTTAATTTTTTTTGAGGAACCACCATCCTGATTCCCACAGGGGCTGCACTGCTTCCCATTCCCACCAGCAGTTCACAAGGGCTCCAGTTTCTCCACATCTTTGCCATCACTTATTTTCTTGTTTCTCTCTCTTTCTCTCTTTTTCTTTTTTTTGGAGACAGAGTCTTGCTCCGTCATCCAGGTTGGAGTGCAGTGGCGTCATCTTTGGCTCACTACAACCTCTGCCTCCCAGGTTCAAGGGGTTCATCCACCTCAGCCTCCCTAGTAGCTGGGACTACAGGAGCATGCCACCATGCCCAGCTAATTTTTTTGGTAGAGACAGGGTTTCACCATGTCAGCCAGGCTGTTCTCAAACTCCTGACCTCAAGTGATCCACCCACCTTGGCCTCCCAAAGCGCTGGGATTACAGATGTGAGCCACTGCACCCAGCCATTTCTCTCTCTCTCTCTCTCTCTCTCTTTTCTTCCTGAGACAAGGTCTCATTCCCATCACTCAAGCTGGAGAGCAGTGGCACAGTCACGGCTCACTGCAAGCTCAACTCCTGGGCTCAGGTGATTCTCCTACCTCAGCCTCCTGAGTAGCTGGGACTACAGGCATGTGCTACCACTTCCAGCTACTTTTTTGTATTTTTAATAGAGACAGGGTTTTGCCATGTTGCCCAGGCTGGACTTGAACTCCTGGGCTCAAGCAATCCAGCTGCCTTGGCCTCCTGAAGTGCTAGGATTACAGGCATGAGCCACCATACCTGGCCTATTTTCTCCTGTTGTTGCTGTTTTTATAATAGCCATCCCAATGGATGTAAAGGGGTATTTTATTCTGTTTTTCTTTTTTTTTCATTAACTACCATTTTTATTTCAATAGAAAGAAATAAAGGGATGTATAATCAATTTGACATAGATAATTCTGGTAGATAATATCAATGTCATTTTAAGTCCATTCTGAAAACTCCTTGTGGTTTTGATATCCATGTCTTTAAAGCACCCCAGTACATGACAATCTGTGGCCAAAGTTGAGGACCAGCATTTAGACCTCTGAATCCAGGGAAGACTTTTCTTTGTGTAGCTCAGGCTGGGCTAGGTGTGCCCTGTGGAGAATGTAGATCATTTCCAGCTCACGGGTACTTGGGCCATCCCCTCGTTCCAGCCCTCTCTGGCCAACAGTCTTTTGTCTCTAGGGCTAAGACAGTGCGTCTCCCTGAACGGTGGACTACTCCTCAAGAGATGGAACAGAAGATCCAGCTGCTCCTCCAGAAGTTAGAGTTTGTGGAGAAGAGCGCAAAGTACTTCTTAGGTAGATGGGCTTGGGAAAGGATTGGAGGTGCACGCTTGCTTCCTCCCTAAGAGTCACATAGCCCAGAGCCCCTCACTTCCCTCCTCCTCCTCCCCTGGTCTTGCTGACCTGCCTTCGACCTCTCTTCCATCTGTCCCTGGCTGAGGGACCTAACTCCAGCTTCTCTCTGTTCCCTTTCCCACATTTTAGAAACCCTGAGTTCAGAAATGGAAATGTTCAATGGTGAGTCCAGCGGTAATGGTGTGTGCTGGCCTGGGATTGTTGCAGTGTTTCCTTGTGCTGTTGACTTGAGGGGCCCTATTTAGAAGACAAAAAAACCCAAAAACACCTAGAGCAAAGGCAGGAGAAAGGTCATGGCAGGCCCCCCAGGCTCTGTGCATGACTGCATGACTCACTGGCTGAGTTGACTCATTAGACCACAGTCCCCAACATGACCTGGGTTCCTGGGAGGAACGGGATTATACCCAACATAGCATGCAGGGCCCTAAGCAGGGGGTTCCTTGTGTTTCCTTGTTGTCGGGACATTGTAATTTAGCCCCTCTGAATACAAACGCTCAGGACTTTTTTCCCTATCTCATTTTTCTCTGTAGTTCCAGAGCTGATTGGTGCTCAGGCACATGCCGGTAAGTGCCCAGATCAAGGCAAGTGGCCCTGGCCTGCTGGATCCTGTGCTCTCCCCTATCACGTTCGAGAATAACTGCCCTGTCCCTGTTTCCTGCAGGTGGGGATAACCCTGTAGGGATGTTGCCCACGGACCCCTAGCTAGGTATTCAAATTTTCTTTGCAGTTAATGTGATTCTGGATGCAGAAACCGCTTACCCCAACCTCATCGTCTCTGATGATCTGAAGAGTGTTAGACTTGGAAACAAGCGGGAGAGGCTGCCTGATGGCCCGCAAAGATTTGACAGCTGCATCGTTGTTCTGGGCTCTCCGAGCTTCCTCTCCGGCCACCATTACTGGGAGGTGGAGGTCAGAGACAAGACAGCGTGGATCCTGGGAGCCTGCAAGGCATCCATAAGCAGGAAAGGGAACATGACTCTGTCACCAGAGAATGGCTACTGGGTGGTGATAATGATGAAGGAAAATAAGTACCAGGCATCCAGTGTTCCCCCAACCCCCCTGCTGATAAAGGTGCCTCCCAAGCGTGTGGGCATCTTTGTGAACTACAGAGTTGGAAGCATTTCCTTTTACAACGTGACAGCCAGATCCTGCATCTATACATTCACCGGCTGCTGTTTCTCTGAGCCCCTTCAACCTATCTTCAGCCCTGGGACACATGATGGAGGGAAGAACACAGCTCCTCTGACTATCTGTCCAGTGGGTGGTCAGGGGCCTGACTGAATGCCCAACACTGCATCTCTCTTCCAGCTTCTGGCTTTGTGTCTTGCATTCACATACTCAGCAGTCACGGAATGCCGCCTGGGTGCCAGCCGCTACAGGAAATGCAACGAATAACAAAATAGTTACTGTGCCCATGGAGCCTACCCGATTATAGCAGAGCTAAGTTAGGAACGAACATATTAGTAAATCCGCTGAAGAAATGTACTGATGACACACCATGGATTTCAGAGGAGGAAGTACAGGGTCGTTGCATAATCCATCCCTGGTGAATGATACTCTCAGGTGCTGCTCCTGAACAGAAGATTTGGCCCTCATTTTCCCTCAGAACCCCACGGCAAGGACATGTCCCCTGGTTCTCTCTGCTTTTGTCTTGAGGACATGGGAAGTCTAGAGAAACACAAGCAGACTGGATTGGGATAGAAGTATTTGTGTACCTGGATTAATGAACTATGATTTTTTTTTTTTGAGACGGGATCTTGCTTTGTCACCCAGGCTGGAGTGCAGTGGCACTATCTCAGCTCACCGCAACCTCCACCTCCCAGGTTCAAGTGATCCTCGTGCCTCAGCCTCCTGAGTAGCTGGGATTACAGGCGCATGCCACACCAGGCTAATTTTCTTGTATTTTTAGTAGAGATGGGGGTTTCACCATGTTAGCCAGGCTGGTCTTGAACTCCTGACCTCAGGTGATCCACCCACCTTGGCCTCTCAAAGTGCTGGGATTACAGGCATGAGCCACCCCGCCCAGCCTATGATTCTTTTTTCTTTTTTTTTTTTTTTTGAGACTGCTCTTGTTGCCCAGGCTGGAGTGCAGTAGTACAATCTTGGCTAACTGCAACCTCCGTCTCCCGGGTTCAAGAGATTCTCCTGCCTCAGCCTCCCAAGTAGCTGGGATTATAGGCGCCTGCCACCATGCCCGGTTAATTTTTTGCATTTTTAGTAGACATGAGGTTTCATCATGTTGACCAGGCTGGTCTCAAACTCCTGACGTCAGATGATCCACCCACCTCAGCCTCCCAAAGTGCAGGGATTATAGGCATAAGCCACCATGCCTGGCCATGATTCTTTTTTTTTTTTTGAGACGGAGTCTGGCTCTGTTGCCCAGGCTGGAGTGCAGTGGCCGGATCTCAGCTCACTGCAAGCTCCGCCTCCCGAGCTTACCCCATTCTCCTACCTCAGCCTCCGGAGTAGCTGGGACTACAGGCGCCTGCCGCGTCGCCCGGCTAGTTTTTTGTATTTTTTTTAGTGGAGATGGGGTTTCAACGTGTTAGCCAGGATGGTCTCAATCTCCTGACCTCGTGATCCGCCCATCTTGGCCTCCCAAAGTGCTGGGATTACAGGCTTGAGCCACCGCGCCCGACCTACTGGCCATGATTCTTAGGAGAATTGACTGGGCCTCATGAATAAAAAATTTAGAAAATCTGGTCATTTGCATTTGTCACTCAATCACTGTGGAATCCCATTTCCCGGCTGCATTTCATGAAGCAGATGGGACTACTGTATGGAAAAACATTTGGCATGTATTCCAAGTGTCAGATTATTCAGTCTTGGTTTGTATGGGAAAATCTTGGGTTGTGGAATATTAGGTTCTACTTCACACACATCCCGCGCATTGTCCTTCATTTAAAGAGATGTAAAGGGGCCGGGCATGGTGACTCACACCTGTAATCTCAGCATTTGGGGAGGCAAAGACAGGTGGATCGCCTGAGCCCAGGGATTCGAGACCAGCCTGGGCAATGCGGTAAAAACCCGTCTCTACAAAAAATACAAAAATTAGTCATAGGGATGGGGATGGGAGGATGGCTTGAGCCCAGGAGATCGAGGCTGCAGCAGTGAACTGAGAATGGACCACTGCAATCCAGCCTGGGCAACAGAGTGAGTCCCTGTCTCCAAAAAAAGCTGGATGTAAGAAGAACAAAATCAAATGAAGATTAAATTCCAAACTTCTATGCCAACTCCTCTGTTTTCACTACTAGAGTCTAGATTGGACTCAGATACTCCATGGCTATGATGAGAGGAGGTAAACTTGCTGTGCTTTCCTCAGGGAGTTTTATTCTACAAGAGTCATCCACATCCCAGGAGAGTTCACGTGACCTACGGCTTAGCTGTTCGCTGTGGTGGGTCATGTGTTATTCTCAATTCTCCCTTGTTATAAGCTTTTCATGAATATCTTTGTGTATATTTTCTACCCACCTCACCATATACATATTTTTTCTCCTGTGTTATTCCTAAAATGGTTCCTGAATGTGAAATATCTGATAATGCTTGCTACAGGTTGCCATACCATCCTTTGCAAATATTTTTAAAATATTTCATGCCCAAAGCAAAGACCACCATTTTTTTTTTTTTTTCTAATTTAATAGGGATGTAATGAGGCCTTACTTCTGCTTTATTTCATTACCTGTTAAGGAGGCTGTGAATTTTTCCATGTGACTTTCTGCTTTTTGCTTCATTCTATGGAAATTGTACAGTTCCTCTGAATACTTGCTATTTGGAATCTACATATTGAACTTTGTTGTTTGCTGTACTTCTTCATACACGTTTTAGGCTGGGTGTGGTGGCTCACGCCTGCAATCCCAACAGTTTGGGAGCCAGAGGTGGGCAGATCGCTTGCATCCAGGAGTTCGAAACCAGCCTGGTCAACATGGCAAAACCTCGTCTCTACCAAAAAATACAAAAATTAGCCAGGCATGGTGGTCAGCACCTGTAGTCCCAGCTGCTCGGGAAGCTGAGGCAGGAGAATTGCTTCAGATTTGGAGGCAGAGGCTGCAGTGAGCCGAGATTGTACCACTGCACTACAACCTCAGCAGCAGAGCAAGACCCTGTCTCAAAAAAAAAAGGAAAACAAAACATAGATGTTTTAGATAGTACGCATTTGAATCTGTCGGATGAAATTTCCCTGCCTAGTGGTGGTTTTATGGTGCTCTAAATCCATACCATAAAATGCATCCTTTTAAAGTGGAAAATTCAGTGTTTCTTATTATATGCATTGTGTGTATAAACATCACCACTATCCAGTTCCAGAACATTTTATTATATGTATTAGCAGTCACTCCCCACTCTCCCCCATTCCCCAGAGCATGCAAACCACTAAGCTACTTTCTGTCTCTATGGATTTGCCTATTCTGGACATATGTTAAGTGGCATCATATAATATGTGTTTTTTTTTTTGTGACTGGCTTCTTTTGCTTAGTATGTTTTCATGGTTCATCCATGTTGTAGTATGTGTCAGTGCTTTATCCTTTTTTATCACTGAATAATCCATTATATGATTACATGTATATATCATTCTTGTTCATCCATTCATCACTTAGGGGACATTAGGTTGTTTCTACTTTTAGGCTAGTGTGAACATGTTTTTGTGTGAACATACATTTCCATTTCTCTTGAGTTTACACCTTGAAATTGAACTGCTTGTTCACATGATAAGTATGTTAAGAAACTGCTGGCCAGGCGCGGTGGCTTATGCCTGTAATCCCAGCACTTTGGGAGGCCGAGGCAGGTAGATTACAAGGTCAGGAGATCGAGACCATCCTGGCTAACACGGTGAAACCCCATCTCTACTAAAAATACAAAAAAATTAGCCAGGCGTGGTGGTGGG